ATGTACATTTATAGACTTACATGTACAAATTTAGACTCTTACACAAACAATGATTCTGACAGTTGTCTTACCCCATATAGTTGGCCAATTTTAATGAAACTCTCAGACACGAATCATTAAATGTACATCTACAACTGATTACATTTCAATGTCACCTCAATTCAAGATGGCTGCCAAAACTAAGTGGCTTGGCCAAATGCAAAATGAGCTGCATTTTAGACGATTTTAAAGACATTGAGCTTAAATTTGATTTGGTAGTAACTGAATGTCTTCCCCAACAGGTACTTTGAGTATGACATTCTCCATAGTGTTATTTTTGATTCAAACTTTGGCAATAAATATTGGAGGCATTTGGATCTTTCTGTTATCCAAAAAAATCCCATATATCACAAATCTTGATAGCATTCTGAGAAAGTCATTATTAGATCTACAATTCACTTTTAGAGTCACCCCAATTCAAGATGGCCACCACAGCTAATTCATATTAGCTAACATAAAAATGCTGATAACTCAGTCAGTTTTACAGATATTGAGCTAAAAAGTGCTGTGTTAGTAGATGAAAGTTATGCCCATCACATACTCCAAGCACTGTGCATTGTGTAACATTTTTACTTCAAACTTTGGCATTTACTGTTAGTGACCACCCTGGACAGATTTTAATGAAACTCTCAGATTGTCATTGCTACCTGAGCCTCTAGAAGTCATCAACTTTTGGGGTCGATCTAATTTAAGATGGCCGCCACAACTAATAGACTGCCAACACAAAGTGCCCATAACTTACTAAAATGAATAAATAACTAGAAGTACCTCTGCCAGTGCTTCCCCTAGGGCATCCCACCCTGTCAACAGACCTGAGCACTTTACACCCGCCCCCACCCACCCCTTTTGACAAGCACACTTGCAGTAATGGTCAATAATGTAGGGGAAACACTGGATTATGCAAATGACAGTGGGCAGGTGCCGAGTTGTGATTGGTTATGGAAAAAAGTTGCCAGATCCCATAACTTGAGCTGTTCTTTGGGAACATCTATTCATAAGTCTTTGAATAATCTTGTGCACAAATGAACAAATAAGCTACTACCAGAAACCTTTGTCTCAGAGGCAATGTGGTGAAGTTGGTTGTGTAGTAGCTGAGAGTCATTTTCAGCACACAGTCAGAGCATCAACATATTTTGCAACTTGTGGCAGCCATCTTAAATTAAAACTCTTGTCATGATATGAATTCCTTCAGGGAACACCAGGCCTTTAATGTTTTGTTTTCTCCTCTCCTCTCTTTTCTTTTTTTTTTTTTTTTTTTTTTATAAAAGTTCTCATGTGCGGAAAACATGTCGTGTTATTCAAGAATTTTATTTATGCTGACATTTTGTATGTTTTTTAAGCAGTCATGAAGGGAAGGTGTTTTGTTTGAGTTCAAATAAACACAAACGTCCCTTTTTTAGATGAGGTGAAAAAAGAAACAGGCTTTGACAGACAAATCCCAGCTTTTGTTCTGCGCCGCACATTTGCATTGCCACACAACAAACGCATCACATGCCTCAGCTTCTCATCTAGCTCGACAATCAAGAGTTGAAAACGAATCAAAAGCGGCTCCTTCATGTGCTGTGAGGCAGCTAACCACAGACTCAAAACACACTTCCAGTGTTTGCGCAACACAAGCCCTGTCAGACATTAGTTTGTCAATTATTTCCTTTTTGTTGCACAGTTACTGTGAAGTTCATCCCATGTTTCTTAAGTGCTTCCATCCGACAGAGCAGCACCTGACAGCTGCAAGCCACCACAGATTTAGGTGGAATCGGATCCTTTTGAATATTTATGATGCACTAACACTCGGTGTCCTTTGATCTCTCAGGCCTCTCGTGTGCGAAGACATCCAGGCAGATGTGGAGGACGGACAGCTGCAGTTCTTCTATCTTCTGGCTTTTGTGCTGCAAGGTGACAAATCCAAACTGATAATCAAACAGTGTTACTGGTAGAGAGAGAGAGAAAAAAAATTGGCTTTCATCAGTGCATCACCCCTTGTTTTGAGCCTCATTTGCAAGATTTGTTTCGAGAACGCTAAGATTTCAGGACACATGTCGAGTGCAGCGGCATGCAAGGTTTGACTCAGGACAAACAAAATGAAACGTTTTGTTTCTGTGAATCATGACGTGACGTCAATAGATGCTTTGAGGCATAAAGGGAATGAGGAAATGTTCCTTTTTTTTAGGTTTAGAGTTTATTATTTGGTTTTCTTCTTAAAAGCAGTGGATGGCAAAGTTGGGCTCGAGACCCACCATGGGGTCCCAGAGCATCAAAGTGGGGTCCTTTGGGATTTTCAGAATTAATTACATTCAAAAATAACTACTAACAACATGTTTTGCCTTAGTTGTTACAAAAGAGCGAGGTAAGTGTACTTAATAAAGCCGTCTCAGTCGTTGTGTCCTTGGGCAAGACACGTCACCCACCTTGCCTACTGATGGTGGTCAGAGGGTCCGGTGGCGCCGATGCATGGCAGCCCCATCTCTGTCAGTGCGCCCCAGGGCAGCTGTGGCTACAGTGTAGTTTGCCATCATCAGTGTGTGAATGTGAGTGTGAATGGGTGAATGTCTGTTAGTGTAAAGCGCTTTGAGGTCCGGAGGGACTTGAAAAAGTGCTCTATAAGTTCAGTACCATTTACCATTTTAATATTGTTACTGTGCTCTTGTTTATTTGACCTGATACCAATGTGGTGGGCAGTAACAAAGTTAATTTACTTGAGTACTGTACATAAGTACAGTTTTTGAGGATTTGCATTTTATTCAAGTAGCATTTTTTTTAAATACTTTTTACTTTTACTCCACTTCAATCGATAAAATTGTACTTTTTACTCCTACATTTCTCTAAAGGTTTTATGTACAAACTGCTTATTTTTGGCCGTGTTTGTGACCTTTTTATTCCACCGACACACTATAATCAGGGTTCCTGCAGATCCTTAAAAGGAATTGAATTCATCGATCCAAAAATAAGGCCTTAATGATGTTAAATAAATCTTTCTGAAGTCTTACAAATGTTAACACGTTGTAAGTAGGATGACTGTAATTCATCTCAAATATTTAAATAATTGGTAACATTTATTTTTTAAATATTCACATGCAGACATTCCCTTTTGACATCACTTCCTGTTATTTCACATGCAAATATCTCATCAACTGCCCATCTGAGCATCATGAAATTTGTTTCATAATATGTTAATAATGTTGTGTTTCCAAAAATGCATTCATATTTCTTACAAACATTTGATGTCACAGGCACTTTAAGGTTTCATCTACAGCAAATTGGGGTTAAGACCCCACTGTGGGTCCTAAAACTCCAAATTTTGGGTCGTTAGAGAATTTCCAGAAATTAAATTAAGTTTAAAACTGACTAAGAATGTTTCTGCTATTGTTAGATATGAATAAAAACAGTTGGTCTATTAGCAATATTTGAATAACTTCAACCAAAAATACTTTGATTCATGAGTTTCCGCCACAGTTTCTATTTTATTTTATTTATTTATTTTGTCATTTGTGTTTATTATGAAATTGGTCTTAAATTTAATTTCACTTGGCGTTAAAAAGTCTTAAATTGAACTTGGCTCAAACTGCAGGAACCCTGTATAAAATTACACACTTCTCCCCCCATACAAGTAGGTGGTGAAATGCAGCTTTAAACCAGAGGCAAGGAGAAGACAAGTTTTTGTCCTACTAGTGTCAGCTTATAGCAGGCCTGTAGCCAGGACTTTGTGTGGGGGGTGGTTCTTTTTTTTTTTATTTTATTTTTTTTAATTTATTTATTATTTTTTTTAGGGGGGTAAAAGTGAACCTTTTAAGCCGCAGGCCCCCATGGGGGCCGCTTAGGGCAGTGGTTCTCAAAGTTGGGTTCAGGACCCACAGCGGGGTCCTGAAACATCAAGGTGGGGTCCTGAAAATATTTTCTGAATTAAGTGTGCTTAAAAATAACAACTAAGCACATTGTTTTGCCTTTGTTTTTAGAAAATAATAAGATTAGTGTACTTAAAATAGACAAAAATAGCATAATAAATATTGTTTTTATGCTCATGTTTATTTGGTGTGAAAATAATGTTCAACTGACAACAGCTGGGGGCACAGGTCTCTGCTGCTGGTGTTTTGTGGGTCAATAAGAAAAGTTTGTGAACCACTGGCTTAGGGTCCAGGGGTTTTAGGTTAAAAAGTGTAATTCTGATATACATGGTATACTGTGTGACTTTTGCAGAGAATATTAGACCATTTTTTGTCAGATGGTGAGTGAATGCAGGCGACATGAGATGCAGTCAAAAGTCTGGAGATGTCTGTTGTTGTCTGCACTAGTTAATGTGGAACTGAGCTTTTCTTTTACGTTTTCTTTCTTCATCTAACTCAGTGAGTGTTAGTGTTTCCTCCTCTCTCCAGTTGGATTTCCTTTTACAATCCACGGCTGCGATCACATCATCAAATTTAGCTGTTAAGTCAGTTTCCAACTTGTTTCTGACTTATCACCAAACAAATGGTGGAACAAAGAGGGAACTGCTTGTCTTTAATTTACTACATGAATGTTTATTTCACATATTCTTCTTTAAAAGCAATAAAAACAACATTATTATGTTGAATTTGAACTTCAAGACTTTCACGTCATCTTGACATTTCTTTGAGAATATTTTTGAATATGAAATCTGATTCAGTGATTGGTCCTTGTCTGCAGTTTTCTAAATCTCACCCTTTTTCTAAGGCAGGGGTGTCAAACTCATTTTCACCAAGGGCCACATCAGCATTACGGTGGCCCTCAAAGGGCCAGATGTAATAAACTTGGTGTCAGGAATACAGATCTGTCTAAGGCGAGCAGCGTGGAAGTAAACAGACTCAGGAGACTCAGAATTAAATAGGTAAGTGATGTTTATTTACAGGTGAAGGTTCAGGTTCCAGGGGCCTCATGCATAAAGGATTGCGCAGCTTTCACACTAAAAGTTGACGTACGGAKAAATTTAGAAAAGTGCGCCGCAACAAAATATTCAGATGTATAAAACCGTGCGCACGCAGGTTCCTGCTCAACTTTCCTTTAAACATCCCAACGAACGTGGAACTGAGCGCACCTGAGACTCCTCCCCTGACACGCCTCCATTTAAATATGTAAAATAGATGTAAATGTGTCCAGCCTGTGAGATTCTCCTCAGATTGTCCTCTCTGTGGGATCAGAAATGATTTTTAGATGCCGTAAAAATATAAATTACTTCAAGTATTCAAGTATTCAAGT